AAAAAAAGAGGCTTAAACACTAATATTCCATGGTCATAATTTATTACACTGGAATCGTAAATACGATCCAATTCATCAGACCTACATTGTATGTGTATATTAACCACTAATATTATCTCTCTCTCTCTCTCTCTCTCTATATATATATATATATATATATATATATATATATGTGTGTGTGTGTGTGTGTGTGTGTGTATGTGTGTGTGTGTGTGTATTTAGGCAGCAATACATCATTCATGCATTTAACTAAATACGACAGACAAGGTGCTTTGATTTAGTTTTTTGCGCAATTTCAATGCGATCTAATAATTTTCTTCTTTTCAGATGATATAAAAACTGTTTGAATGTTCTTTTTTTCCGAGCACTTTCGGCTATAAATTTAGCCATTTTCAAGGATTAAATATTTTAACTGTTAAATAATAGTTTGATGCATGTATGTATTTATATAATGTTTTCATTTTTCAAAACACGGTCAAGATATTGTGTCCATGCTCATAGTTGTTATTACTGAGTGTTGGCTTTTTGTTTTTATTAATAAGACTTCCATTATTTTTAGCCCTTTTTGCATGTAGATGATGTTATTATATTTGTATTTTTAACAAGTATGTTACGAATAGGGTCCGGTAGGTCTCCATGAATATTTAAATGACATTTTATTTACTAATTATTTATTTCTTCCTCATCAATAGGAGTAGATAGGTTTGCCTATCTCCCGGTTTACAGTCTTCTCTGGCCTTTAGAACTGGAATAATGGTATATTGCTTGTTTCCTGTTTAAGAATAGGTTTTCGATACCTTCTAAAGTCATCGAAGGTCGTTCAAAATGTCCTCACACAGAAAGAAGAGCCATAGCTGAACATTTTTGTTGTGGCAACACACTACCACTTCATATAAAACTAGAAAAAATAATTCAGATTTCTGTTTAAATTTCTGTGAGTGAGGCCCACACAAAGGTGAGAGGCGTGTGACAAATCTAAAAATGGACAAAACAGAAGCTGAACAGGAATAAAGTATCTGCAAAAGAAAGGTATGCCACCCAAGGAAATCCATGAAGACACTTGCTGAGGACGCCCCTTCCTATGCAACTGTGAAGACGTGGGCTACGGAATTCAAGCGAGGCGGCGACAGCACAGAAGATGACCCTCGGTCTGGTCGTCTAAAAACTTCAACTGCTGATGAATCAGTCATTCACCGCATGGTTTTAGATGACAGACGTCTCACTGCCCAGCAGATAGCTAAGTCCATAAATATTAGTTCTGGTTCACTTTTGAGTCACTTCCAGGCTGACTTTGAGAATTTCCACAGCAGATTAGTAGCTCAAGATGAAACTTGGATTCACAACTTAGAACCTGAATCAAAGATTCAAAGCAAATAGTGGAAACATTCTGGTTTTCCATCCCAAAGAAGTTTAAGCAGGCAGCGTCTGTTGGAAAGGTGATGGCTTCTGAAAGTGTAATCATGTAGACTAACTGGAAAAGGGAAAAAACTATTAATGGACAGTACTAGTGTTCAGAATTAAAACAACTTAAGTAAGTGGTCAAGTCAAAATGCAGAGTGAAGGTGAGGGTAGGTGTGCTCTGACTCTAGGATAGCACACCTATTCACATTGCTCAGGTTGCAGTAATGAGTCAGTGACCAAAGCAGTGATAAATTATCTACAAAAGGAATGTACGATACCCAAAGAAATCCATGAAGATATGGTACAAACACTTGCTGAGGGCCCAACTTCCTATGCAACTGTGAAGAAGTGGGCTGCGGAATTCAAGCGAGGAAGGGACATTACAAAAGTTGATAGTCGGTCAAGTTCAAAAGCCTCAACCACTGATGAACAAGTTGATACCATGCAGCGTATGTTTTTGGGTGTTCAGAAACTTATTGCCCAGCAGATAACTCTGTCTATAGACATTAGTTCTGGTTCGGTCTGTACTGTTTTAACTGAGATCTTGGAGATGAGCATGCTGTCTGCAAGATGGGTGCCAAGAATGCTGACACCAGTGCAGAAGCTGAAAAAGGTTAACATTTCCAGGACATTTCTGACTCACTTCCAGGCTGACTCTGAGAATTTACACTGCAGATTAGTAACTCAAGATGAAACTTGGATTCACAACTTAGAACCTGAATCAAAGATTCAAAGCAAACAATGGAGACACTCTGGTTCTCCAACCTGAAGAAGTTCAAGCAGGTATCGTCTGTTGGCAAGGTGATGGCATTTGTTTTTTGAATTCTGAAGGCATAATTATGATAGACTACCTAGAAAAGGTTTAAGCATCGTTAGATCAAGTGCATTGATGTTAAGGGGGACTATACTGAAAAATAGTGAAAAACTCTTTTGTTTCTCCAACTTCTCAAGCGTTGAAGAATTTTTTCCTTCTCTAATATGAGTGTTCCGTCCTTTGATTTTAGGTCTCCTGTTGACGAGCATGTCTTCTGTCCTGTTAGTTGCTTTATTTGTTTGTGCATATATCATTTGTTGGTGGTATACAATCTCTCTATTTCTGCACATTTTTTGTTTAGCCACACTTCTTTAGCTTGCATGCATTTGGTTCTTATTTCATTGTGTAATTTTCTGTATTCTGTTCCGCATCTTGGCAGTGTTTGCATCATGTCGCGAATCTCTTCAGTCATCCTTTCGTTTTTTTCTTTTTCGTTAACTGAGATCTTAGGGATGAACATGCTGTCTGCAAGATGGGTGCCAAGAATGCTGACACCAGAGCAGAAGCTGAAAAGGGTTGACATTTTCAAGACACTTCTGATTCACTTCGAGGCTGACCCTGAGAATTTCTACCGCAGATTAGTAACTCAAGATAAAACCTGGGTTCGCAACTTCGAATTTGAATCAAAGATTCAAAGCAAACAGTGGAAACATTCTGGTTCTCCACCGTCGGAGAAGTTCAAGCAGGCAGCGTCTGTTGCCAAGGTGATGGCTTTTGTTTTTTGTATTCTGAAGGCGTAATCATGATAGCCTACCTGGAAAAGGGAAAAAAAACTATTAGTGGACAGTACTATGCATCAGAATTAAGAGAACTGAAGGAATCAATCAAGTCAAAACGCACAGGGAAGCAGAGGGCAGATGTACTATTGCTCCAGGGTAACGTGTCCACTCACACGGCTCAGGTTTCAGTAGCTGAATCAGCCAACTGTGGCTTTGAATTGCTACTTGCATCCCCTTTGCAGATGTAGCTCCATCTGACTTCTTCCTCCCACCTGCGCGGTCGCCATATTGGGAACAATGATGAGATCATATGTGCCATGGAGAAGGTTTTGGAGTACCAAGACGCCACCTTCTTCCGTGGTGGGATTGCAAGTCTTAAGCATCGTAAGATCAAGTGCATTTTCTAACTTCTTATGGGTAAGGCTTAGAACTTTTGAATGACCCTTGTACTTCTAACGTCTCCGCCTTAACTTTTATTTACTAATTATTTATTTATTCTTTTTTTCTCTACAATAGGTGTAGATAAATTCGCCTATCATCCGGTTCACACTGCTCCCCGATCTTTCGAACAGGAGTAGAGGTTTATCCCTTGTTTAGGATTGTATTTCTGATTTCTTCTAAAGTCTACTTCAACTCTATACTTCTAACATCTCCGTTTGAACCATGGAATGTTATTTAGTAACCATTTGTTTCTTTTTTATCCTCTTCCTCTCTATAGGAGTGGGTAGGTTCGACTATCGCCCGGGTCTCACTGCTCTATGGTCTTTTGAACAGGAGTAAATGTTTATCCCTTCTTTTCGGTTTAGGATTGGGTTTCCTGTTTCTTCCAACCTTTTTTTTTCTTTCATTCTCAGTAGCCCATTACGTCTCATTATCGTCTTACTTTGGGTGTTGTGATTTAAATAAAAAAAAGAAGTTAAATATTTTCGTTTAAATTTTCCGCGTTCTTAGATTTAAAGCCATAATAACTGCCATATTGGTGCTTACAAATTTAAAATAATAGTGATTCGGTACATATCATGACAAAAGAAATGGCTATTTTACATCAGTAAGGTAAACCGTGTTCAAATTCCAGTCGAATTCATTACATTCACTTACGTGCTAATACCCTTGGGAAAGGTATAAATCCTCTTCTTCTCCCCGTCAACTATGGGCAAATAGCAGGACAGACCGGGTTCTATAGCCTTGGATGGCAACTGGTCTATCGCAGAAGGAAATGCCAACATACTGCGGGAAAAACATCTGCTTCTTCAGTCATGTATCGAAAGATACATGATCGCCTACGCGTGTATTATGCATGGCACGTAACTGACTGAAGTTATTCTTGTAAAAAGTTGAATGTCTAAATGGTTACAGGTAATAACTTTTCATAAATCTCGATGTGAAAATTCTAATCAATAGAAAACTGCATTTGACGTAATGTTCTGTTATCACGTTACAGAATTAATCGGCGTTAACTATTTTCATATAATGCGATGAGTCCAAGAGACAAGCTCAGGATGTCGTCTGCTATGTGGAAAGGATCAGCTCACAAACGATAGGAGAGAACAATTGGAATCATCTCGTCGTGTTTGGCGAAAGAGAGTACCCAGAGGAGGGATACCTTCATAAGAAGTGTTTTTGTGAAGCTTAGCATAACTTTTTGTTATCCAACTCTCTCTGAATAAAGTTTTATTTTTTGTATACACGTTTCTTAGTTAGAATTAGATATAGGGCTGAAATGGGACAAGAAAATACTCAAAAAAAAAAGAAAAAAAAAGAAAGAAAAACAATTTTTATTCTCTACTGTCATACACGACAAGTAGCCAAAGCGATGAAGAAAAGTCACCCAGAATAAAGTGACAGTTGAAGGGAATATTTATCTGACAGGCGCTCACGAAGATCTTGGCGTGTTAAGATAATAGCACCAGAAAAACGCTAATTGTAATTCTAAAATAGTATCGTAACAACATCACTCTCTCTCTCTCTCTCACACACACACACACACACACACACACACACACACACACACACACACACACACACACACACACATCTTAGACTAAGTATGTTTATGTCTATGTTAGTCTGTTCATATCTATCTATCTATCCTATTCTGTTCAAATCTATCTATTTTTGTTCATATCTATCTCTCTATCTATCTGTTATTCTGTTCAAATCTATATTACTCTATTCCTATCTATCTATCTTAGTCTGTTCATATCTATCTATCTATCTATCTATCTATCTATCTATCTATCTATTTTAGTCTGTTCATATCTATCTATCTATCTATCTATCTATCTATCTATCTATCTATCTATCTATCTATCTATGTTCTGTTCATATCTATTTTAGTATATTCATATCTATCTATCTATCTATCTATCTATCTATGTTCTGTTCATATCTATTTTAGTATATTCATATCTATCTATCTATCTGTCTATCTATCTATCTATCTATCTATCTATTTTAGTCTGTTCATATCTATCTATCTATCTATCTATCGATCTATCTATGTTATTCTGTTCATATCTATTTTAGTATATTCATATCTATCTATCTATCTATCTATCTATCTATCTATCTATCTATCTATCTATCTATCTATGTTCTGTTCATATCTATCCATTTTACTCTATTCATATCTATCTATCTATCTATCTATCTATCTATCTATCTATCTCGTTCTATAAATCCCATTCTATAAGTCCCATTCTATAACTAATGCATGCTTTTATTTTTGGCCACCAACAATTGCCTTTCTTCTAGATTTTAAGGTAGAGATCGAGTTTCGAAACTTAAAATACAAATGTTATTATTGTTCCATTTCCTCCGTTTACCAGAACTTTCTGTGTTACTACAAATGCAGTTCTCTGAAGAATTAGCAGTTTTGACGTATTTAACGTCTAACATTGAAAACAATGATCCCTCCAAGAATTTACAATAATAATTTGCATTTATCTTGACATAATCATCAACTTTGAAGTGGCCTGTGATTTTTCAAAAAGGTTTCTCCGCATTTCTTCTGTCGACTAAGTAGTGTTGGTTAGTTATTCCAATGAACGGTTCAACTACTAACTCAACTTTTAAACCTAAGTCCATCCAATGTAGTTCTACTTTCATTAGTAAAAAAATACATTTAAGAAATCAGGTTAATGAGCACCGGGCCGTGGTTTATTTATCAGTAAGCTCATTTTGAAGGTTATTTCTGTTATTTATTCACTAGGTGTCCGAAAATTTGTGATGAATTTCGATCTTAACACAGCGTCTCAACATTTCGGTTGAGTTCCATCTTAACTCGATGTCGCAAATGTTTCCTCAATGTCCCAATTTTATGGCACTATGATAAGTTTATCAAATATAAAAATGTATAAATTACTTCAAATTAGTGCTGAAAAGCGTGTCTTTCCGATCATTTCTACTCAAGTGAGTTTGTTTCTGTTATTTTCAATGTGGCTCCTTTGAGTTATTTTTAGGCCTTTACGCCCCTGCAAGACATTATTTCTAGACAGATATCCAACCAAGATTAACGATTAGGTGAGGATTTGTGACTGTGGGTTAGCCAAAACTACCAACGTCCCCCGTACAATGTAGCCTACCCAATTTCGTTCACAAAGCTTGCGTCAATCCATGATATAGTTTTAGACACTCCTTAACAATAACGCATGCAGGGATCGTCCCCGCGTGCCGATATTATAAAGAAAACACCTCTTTGACTAATCAACCATAGTGAGATTCGAACACGGGTCTTTACCCATTTAGATACACACCCATTCATTTATACCGTTGAAGAAGACATATCAGAGTTGATTTCACAGTTTCAGCGGATTTCAAAGAAAGTGAGGTTTATGACCACATCATGTTAAAACACCAGTTTCTGTACGATAACCGAAGTTCAGCAACGTCGGTCCTGGTCTGTACCTAGATGGGTGACCACTTGGGAATACTAGGTGCTGTAAGCTTAAATGTGCGGGTGGTGTAATAGATAATGGCTCGGAATCGTTCATCGGAGAGCCGAGTTCCAATTCCAGTTCGTTATATTTACTTACGCGCAAATACTCTTGGGAAAGGTATGAATGCACCTTTTCTTCCCCCAGTTATGGATTAAATAGTAAAACTTATATCCCTAAAACCATTAGTAACTCCAAAAAATGAAATAAATTAAATAAATAAAATTGCCTACAAAATATATAGATTTCAGCATTAAATAACCCATAGACGTGTTCATATTCCGCTAAACAAAAACAACCAAAATCAAAGAAAGTGAAAAGATAAATATCTTGAGGAAGTTGTGGAACATGAAAGTGACAGTAGTTCCAGTCATTATCAGAACACTAGGAATAGAGAAACCTTAAAATTAGGGGAAGAGTTAGAACGATCCAGATGACGCCGCCATTGTTGAAAACTGTTCGATTACTGAGGAAGATGTTGGAGTATTGAGGAGACTTGTCATTTGATCTCCAGTGTAAGGTACTAATTACTACTGATGTGAACATTCAATACTACTACTACTACTACTACTACTACTACTACTACTACTAATGACAAATTATTACCCACTTCAAAATAGATGACCTGATCTGCTTTCTGCAAATTTGATTTGTTGATATCTTTCATGTAATGCGATTAGTCCGAGAGAAAAGCCCCGGATGTCGCCTTTCATGTCGCAGGGATCAGCTCACAAACGAAAGGTGAGATAAATGGATACCAGTTTGGAATATCTGGTCACGTTTGGCGGCGAAAAGCATCTAGAGAAAGGATGTCGGCCCAAGAATTATTTTTGCGACTAATAGCATGTCTTTTCGTCATCCAATTCTCTCTGAATAAAGATATTTTTTTGCTGTCTACACATTTCCGTTTCTAAAGTAGAAATAGATATATGACAGAAATAAAAAGAAAGAAATTTTTTTTTATTTATAAATAACCTTTTTTTTTATCGCGTTTAACCAGTATAAGGCACAAGAGCCACTCAAGGTAGATGGTTACTGAATTATGTGTGCGATATAAGCGTAGGAAGAGGAAATAAAAAGTGAAGTTCGCGGTATATGGCAGATAGCTAACGACTGGCTCCAGAACTGAAGAGGTTAAGATTGTTCTGCTCGGGGAAGCATCCACATGGGGGTCTGTTCCATAAAGTTCTCTAGAAGAAGCTTTCTGATTCGAAAGCCTTTCTTACCGATGTCCCTGTGAAACACATTTTAACTGAATGTACTCAGGTATCCCCCCTCCCGTAAGACATAAATACTATAAAGAAACCAACACGGGAAAACTATTTGAAAATACAGAAACCATCCACATAATGTCCTACATTAAAGAAATAGGTTTATAATAAAACATAAACTGCTGACCAAAATCTTAAAGCCAATGAAAATAAAGAAAAATATACTTTTGTGTTGTTAGACTCAACAAATTATTTGAGTAAATCTTCGAAAACTGAAAATAAGAAAAATAAAAATAAAAATTGATTTTAATATCTCCAGTTTGTAATTCGTTTTTTTCCTTTTGCTAACAACCATGCATTCTGTCTTCTTGCAATTGATGTTTATTCCTTTCTTCTCGCTTTCTTCTGTAGGAGTTCTTGTAATTTTCTTTCTGTGTCTGTTATCAACACTGTGTCATCTGTATATCCTATGTTGTTAAGATTGTGGCTGCCAGTAATGAATCCTGGTAGGACTTCTCGTTCTCTCAGAATCGCCTTGTTCTAATATCCATCCTAAATATATCAATATTGCTGAACAGTTCCAATAAATATTCTAAGTGATATATCGTCGACATTTCCAGGGAGAAGATCGACCTTGAAGAGAATTGGAATCCTGTCAAAGAAAGGCACGACTCTTCACCGCAATTTCAAGGTCCTTTGAAGCCATCCTAAGTGATATATCTTCGACATTTCCAGGTGAGAAAATCGACCTTTGCTTAATCTATAAAACACAATTACACGTCTTTCTGCATTTGTATTGCTCTTTTTTATAACATTCAGAGTGTAAATATCGCATTCCTCGTTCCAGTGTTTCCGGCCTGATTCTGCTCCGTGGTCTATTTGCCATCATCATCATCTCGCGCTTTTTGTCTCTCGGTGGTGGTAATAGTGAGGTGGCATATCTATGCATGTAAATTGTTTCACTTAATTCTTCTTATCAAGTTTTAACTTAGTATAAGTCGCGGTACCTCTTATCTTAAGAAATAAAAAAAAGAAAAAAGAAAAGAACGAGCGGAAAATTAATTTAAACTTGCCACAGCAGTCTTTTACTCAGCAAAAACTTCCACTAAATGCAGCAACCTCGACAAGTAATACTAAATTAATAAGCAAATTATCAGTACAGACGTATATATATATATATATATGTATATAAATGTTTTTTGTTGCGACGCGTTTCGTCCTTTAGGACTTAATCGGACTAAATTTGTTATGTTGCTGCGACTACAGATCGGCTATATTAAAAAAAAATGAAAAGACTAAAATTCCCAGCATCCCTCGTTCATGAGCATGCGTAGTCGCATCAACATAACAAATTTAGCCCAATGAAATCCTAAAGGACGAATCGCGTCACAAGAAAACCTCTCCCACTTTGTCATATATTTTAATATATATATATATATATATATATATATATATATATATATATATATATATATTATAATAAAAGAAAGCAGTTCAATATAACGTATTCTAACACAAACACCCCTTTAGAAATAATCTTTAAGTATACAAGTACGAATTTAATCTTTAAGTATACAAGTACGAATTTAACGCAAAAAATGCCGAAAAACTTTCTATCGTTGATAAAAAAAACAAAAAACCAGACGACATGCGTTGAACGGATGTCAAATTCGTTGAAAAATGCACCCCTATCCTCCCTAAACTTAACCTCTTTTTCGAACGTAACTCATAATTGATACAACAATAGTTAATAAAAATGAACACGCTACCGCCCCTGTCTAAATGATTGGATTTCTCTGTATCCTTGGAAGCAAAAAATCATGAATTGTATGTGCGTTTAAAACTCAGTAAATTTAAAAATAAGTTATTCCAAAATTCCTTTGAAGATGAAACAGAACTAATGCTTTTAATTTAATTATGTAATTAAATTTGAAGTTTTTAGCGTCGGTTTTTGAAACATGGTAATTCGTGTGTAGCGAAGAAACCATATTTTAAATCAGTTAATTTATTATATATATATATATATATATATATATATATATATATAATATATATATATATATATTGAAGATTGAAGGTTCAAAAGACAAAATTAGATGACTGGAGAAGAGATGAAAATGAAAAAAATAGCCATTATTCAAAGGTCAGAGGATTCATACATTTAAGACTGGCAACGTCAATTGATGGAATTCTTGACCAAAATTTTATTAAGATTTGTAGAAGTAGAAATAGGAGTTAATATCGAAAGCATCGAAATAGCTGTATTATTAAAAGTGGATTCAGACAAGCGCAGGCTGTGTAACAACGAGGTGGGAAATCTCACTCATATCATTAGCACTTTGTAGAATGCTTGCGTAGAATAAATAAAAGCGCCGTCATCAAATAGCGACCTCACATCTGCATTGGTACCTATGTCGGAAATATGAACTTGAAGTCGGCTAGAAATGCCACCGCCACAAGCCAGAGATCGTTATCGAAGACGACCAAACTTGTAGGATTTCAACATCTGCGTTGTTTAGGTTACCAAATCAGACATCGCTGTCGTTGCCAAAAAAAAAAAAAAAAACCAAAAAAACAAAAAACAAAGACAAAACAAAGCAAAAAATACAAAACAAAACAAAAAAAGAAAAAGAAAAAAAAAAAAAAAAAAAGAGCAACCCCCCACCAAAAAAAAAACAAAACAAAACAATAAAATGTTTCCTCGTCCAATTGACTGTTCCTGATTATCGTAATATCAAGACCAAAGAGATTGATAATCTTGAGATATACACCGGATTCAAGTTGCTAGAATATGCGGCGCTCAGGCCACTGTTGTCCCAGTTATCATTGGGACACTGGAGTCTATGAGATAACGTGAGATAACCGGCAAAATCGCTTTAGAAGTTTGCGTTACTTTGCATTGTAATAAATCTACAAAAGGTATTCTCTGACTGAGGACGTACGAATGACTTGATGCGGAACACCCATAATGCAAGATCCCCAATTGAAAACGAAAACATGGGAACGTAAGTGCCATACGTAATACACACTTGGGCGATCAAGTCTCTTTTGATATATGCATGATTAGAAAGAAAATAGGAGATTTTCCCGCTGTTTCTGTGTTTTCTGTGGTAGATTGGTTACCAATCATGGTTACAGGATCTTGTTTGTTCTGCTATTCAACCTATGATTCCAGGGAGAAGAGAGGGTTTCATACCTTTTCCAGGGGTATTTGAGCGTAAGTGAATGTAACGAAGCTGACTGGAATTCGAACTCGGCTCTCCGATTTCACTTTTCGAAACGTTATCCATTACGGCACGCAGCACATCCAAAATAATTTTAGTACTAGTTGAATATTTGTGAAGTGTATTTGCGTTGTCGAGTTCGCTTTAACGCAGAAGATATAATAAAGAATATTGTCAATTTTAAACTGAGAGAAAATGAAGAATTTATTTGTGAAATTTTCATCTGGTAGCACAAAGATCAATCTAGAACGTAATTAAGTCTAAGACACTCCGTACCATTTCCACAGAGTCAAATCATCCTTATTTTCTTTGTATTCCAATTGTAAGGAGAAATTTCCACTCAGCCTATTTTTCAAGTACTGATACTTTGCGGAACGGACCCCTGCGTGGATGCTTCCTTGAACAATCTTAAAAATCGTTCATGCAGTCTTGTTGCGGAAGACTTATTTTCCACTCTACAGCCTCTTTCCCCACAGACGCAAAGTTGAAAGCCTATTGCTACACTGCCTCTATTCCTATGGCAAATGTTCAAATGAACACTATTGTTTTGTTTTACCAGTTGATAACTTTATAGC